GCAACATGATTGCAGCGTCCAGGCAGCTCCGGTTCGAGCATATGCCTTGAGTTGCACATAGCTCCAACGCCCATACCACCGACGACATGTTTGTTTACTGTCCTGGCTTCACGGCCGCACACCATTTACGTCACAGCCAGGCATGAGTTAGGGGGCGCTGGATTTGTAAAGAACTCCCCTCTTCCTAAACCACTAATACCACAGTACTGGCAAAACGGGAGGAGCCGAGTGAAAAACAAGCGCCCCTCATCCCAATCCACCCACACCGCAGTATTTTTTCTTTTTTTTTACCCAAAAAATATATTGTATATTATCGGGGCTATTAATACTGGTATCGGGTTTATCGGGATGACGTCATAATTCCTAATATCGGACCGATAATTATCGGCCCGATAGTGCATCCCTAGTAAGAACATGTAAGAAACAGAAAATGAGCTTTCAAGCTTCCAAAAGTGTTGGAGAAAAAAGTTGCATGAAAGAATGAAACATCCAAATCAACACTGCAAGCAAACACTGCAGCTCTGGGAACATGAAGCCCATCCTAAAAACATTACCCATCTTTTTCTGTTAGTGGAGATATTTGGAAGACATTTAGTATCTTAAGTATACCCATTTAGACATCTCATATCAAATATAAATTAAGTAATAAACATAAAAAAGGATAATGAAAAAAGTTGCCTTCATCTAAAAATGTATCAAATGGGTCTTTTAACTATTCTCTTACAAAGTATTAAGCCTTCTTCAAAGAACGTGGAAGTTTGTGCAAGTGTAACTTTTTACTGCCGCATACCACAGCCTGCCTGCACAAGCATGCATTCAAACACCTGCACACATCCATGCATTCACATGTTCCTTCAGCGCTCTTACAAATCACAAATGTATTCTGCAGCTGCCCTCATGGTGGCTCTGGAAAGTCACATCAGATAAATATCCAAATGTAACTGTCCTCTGCGCATCAGTGGGGACGCTGATTTACTGAGTTTCTCAATTGACTTGAAGGCTGGATTAGCTTGAAGCAATCAAGGGAACTGTCGCCATCGTTTGCAGCTAAATCAGCGCTGTGTTAATGAATGCCTCTTACTGGCCTCCTGGCCGTCCTATCAGAGCACATGCTGGTAATACACATCCTACGAGGTTGAAGCAAGCATCAAACAAGCTGCTTTTAGTAATATAACAGCATGTCAGTCAGACTATTGATTCACACTCATAGATTACACTGTCTGCATTGGAAATATAATAATCAGGATATCTCGAGCCTTATTACCATAACAATTTTTTTTAAAACGATTAAACTGAGGCATTGAGTGTATTCAATAATGGTCGATAAGTTGATTGAAAGAAAATGAATTTGAACCATTTCAATTATTAATAATTATTTAAATGTTTGGAGTGTTTTGAGCTTAAAATAAATTGAGAATGTGTTTTTGCTTTTTCAATAGTTTATCTTAATGTTTTGGAATGAAAGTTGGAAACATTTTAGTTAAGAAGACCTCACAGTGATTGAGTAATTGTGAATGCCTTTGTTAAATGTTTCATAGATTAGACAATTAATCAAAACAACGGTCAATTGATTGCTAAATAATACAAATTCTAGTTAGTTGCAGACGTGTCCATTACAATTCAATACTGCTTTATTTATGTATTTATGTAAATGTATGCCAGAGGTCTTCAGCCAGGTCAACATATACACAATAGTTATTGTACAATATATATTGTATACATATAATATACAATAGTTAAAGAAAAAGATAAACACGGTCTATCAAAAAGGAAAATATTGTTGAAGCTGACTCTTCTGTAGACGCTCTCTGGTGCAATAACATGTAGAGTGCAGCAAACCGCCCTCTTGGTGGGCGTGTGTGAACCTGCTCAGTCCAGCTTTCCAATATATTCTGCTCGACTGACTTTACGACTTGGTACAACAAAGAGCTCAGCTGCTTTATGAGCAGTTGCCATGTTGTTATATCCTGGTAACAGGCAACTTAACCTTTTTGCACAGTTAAAGAAGCTGAATATGTTTCATCCCCGAGTGTGACGCTGCCATCAGAGACATCTCTTCTGACTGTCCACAGTGAGTCAGCTGCAGTAGATGTTTTATCCTCACATGCAGTACAATTATGTGGTGCGAGAACTCATGTTGGTTTCATAGTGCACTGATATTAAGTGCATGGGGTTATGTGAATAGTGCATAAAGAGCCTCTCCATTAGGTGTGCCAGTCAAAGAGCTCATATGAGCTAGAATATACCATTTCTGTGATTGTCTCGCAATGTGATATAGGAGGAAGATGTATTTTTAGAAATGTCATAAATGCACTAATGACTGGCTCTGCCCGAAGCCCACACTGAGTGTTGATGCCGTTGGCCACTTACAGAGTAGGATTATGGGTCTCGTTTTGCAGCGGATGCATTCAGAGCAATTATCAGAGATACCCAGACAATATGCCTCGTACTTAAAGTGACAGGTCATTTTGTTGGAACAGTTGCAAATATGCATCATTATGACATTAACTGTCTCCTCTAGCATCAGACACAAAAGCTTCTGATGTCAGTGGCTCTGTGCTTCCAAACGGAAAGCATAGAGATTTACTGTATTTATTGGCAATATTAAAAGAACAAATACCCAAAGCAGCCGTTCGGGATGTTTTCCGAGTGTGCATGATGTCAAAAAAAAAGGACTGCAAAAATGGAAAATGTTTGACTTGTATTTTTATTTTCTTATTTTAATTAAGTACAGAATGGCTGTCCTGGTGTTAAAAGTGGCATACTATGACGATTAGCCACAGCTAGTTCCTAAAGGATGACTTGGACATTTCATGGGATAATTCACAAGTGTATTGGTGTATTCTCATGTCTTAACAGTAAATATGTAGCTGCCGCAAGCATTAAGAATAGGGAACCTCTAGCCTGACTTTCTCACAATGTGAAATTGCAAAAATCAGCACCTCTTAAGTACACGTACAAAGCCAAAAAAGACAACTTGGAGTTTTTTGGGGTCTTGCGTCTTTCTTTACATGATGCAGTAGCTCCCGAGTTATCACGTGTTAAATAGTGAGCTTCAGAGGACCTGCAGGCAGACCTTTTTTTATGAGAAATCTTATCTATAATTATCTTTACTGTCAGATGAAGGCTTACTAAAGTGGAAAATCAATGTGATGTTCCCGGAACATGCTGAGGTTTTAAAAACACAAATCTAGCATGAAATTATCTTTTCTGTCAGCGGAATAGGAATATTTGAAACGTGTTGGTGGTAAGTCACCTGAACAAAGCTCCACCCAGCTAGATGCCTATGGGTGCCAAGCTGAAATGGAGACCTGCATCTAGGAGGAATGTTTACCCGAGCTTAGCACAGAGCCCTTATTGCTCAAAGCAGCATGAGTAGATTTCTGTCTTTATTTCACTTCTGCACCATGCTCCGTGCCTTTTTAGATTGGGACTGCCCAAAATGAGCCCCCCTGTGATGACAGGAATAGCTTTTTTAAAGGCACAGAGGGGAGAGAAATTAACTGTGTGTGATCAAGTGTAAAGTAACAGTACACCAAGAGTGGAGGAGAGGCTTAAAGGAATTTGAGAATAAAGGATTCCATACATTCCTAGATGTAAGAACCACTTTTATGTTAAAGTGTTTATAAGAAGCAGATTTTCATATGTATTACTATTTATCCATAAAATACTTCTTATAATTAACTTATCCGCAGTCGTAATCAGACAACCCTGTGGAATCTGAACAATACAGCTCATTGTACCTGCATTTAATACTACCAGCACTATTGGATTCTGGCTCTCAATCTCAATCTTTCAATCTTTATTTATTTATATAGCACATTTAAAACAACCTTCAGTTGACCAAAGTGCTGTACAGGCAGTAACTACAATATTAAATAACCCAATGGGAGTACAATAATAAAACAATAATTAAAAACATAATAAAAAGCACAATAACTAGAAACATATAAAAAATAAATAAATAAAAAACACATACAAATATAAAAATGTAATGTTCAACTGGCTCTCAAAAAGGATGCATAATGTTGTCACACTTGAATATCAGGTGAAGTGAAGCTTGGTGAGGCTAAACTTCAAGGTTGATGAGGGAGGGGTAAATGTTGTTGGAATTTGAATAAAATTAACCAGGAGAGTTTTCTTGACTAGTATAACGAATTCCGGTGGTTGGAGCTTAAAATAAATTATTTAAAAAAATGTACCTCTCACGAAGGACCACCCTACTCGACATAATGTAGATCTTAATGCTGTTTACTTCTAAAGTATGTGCAGGTTGTCTTGATTTTAATATTGGGTTATTATAAGACTTAGAATAACCCAATATTAAAATCAAGGCACATATTTCATTTGCTGTACATCAGGAGAGCCTTAAATTGCCCTCAACAGTAAGGCTATTAAATGTGTACCTATTCATGAAGGAATTATAATAAGATATTATATTGCAGCCTACTTTCAACTTATTATTAAGCTGGTGTGCAGCGCCTTTTTAGATATGTAGCCTCACTGTACTTATCCTTCTCATGGAGACATGCAGCTTTTTAAAACAGTCTATCACAGACTCTAAATAACTTGATCTTAAAAAGACAGAAGAAGTTCCTGCGGCATCACACACACACACACACACACACACACACACACACACACACACACACACACACACACACACACACACACACACACACACACACACACACACACACACACACACACACACACACACACACACACACACACACACACACACACACAAACACAACACACACACACACACACACACACACACACACACACACACACACACACACACACACACACACACACACACACACACACACACACACACACACACACACACACACACACACACACACACACACACACACACACACACACACACACGAGAAGTGAAACCCTTCGCATATTAAAACTTTACTTTAATGGAGCCCGGATGCTGTGAAGGTAAGGTAATTGAGTGACTCAGTTAAATGAATGAAGCTTACCTTGTATGTGCTGGTTGACCACATTCTCCAGCCGATCAAGCCTCTCCATGATCCGGAGAGTGTCCCCTCGTTTGTCTCCCTCTAACTTTCTCTCCGGTAAAGGCATGGGAACTTTGATGTAAATATTGGCGATGTAGTTAGTAACCCATCCGACGTAAAGCAGGCAAACAATGTTGGTCATGCCGCTAAGTATCACGCATGTGGACACCAAAGTTTTGGTTCTCCTGGTGCAAGCCATGCCAACATCCCTCCATACAGCCTGCAGTATTCCTTTAAACCGGAGGACAGGGCGACAGTCGCACGTAAACAAACTGAAATAATGAAGTTATTTCCAGCAACTATGCAGCGGTGCGATATCCGGAACGCGGAGCCTTTACTTTAAAAGTGCCGTGTGTGTTTTTGGCGCTAGTGTAACAGCTTAATTTCAAATATCTACAGGTGAAGCTTCCCCCTCTCGTTCCATTGCGAAGCTTCGTCGGCTCCGGTTGCATGTGAGGATCACGGAAACAGGAGAGACACCAAGCATCCTGCTGCAGCCAATGGGAGGGATGGAGAGGACTGACAGCCGCCGTGCTGCACGCGCCCCGCTGCGCACTGATTCACTGTGAAAGTGGATCTGACCGGACTATTTCCATTGAGCAGGACACTTAAGTGTTATAAGCTATTTCCGCCCAAACGGCGAAATATTTGAGCCACAATGACCTTAAACTGCTCATGTGGAGGTATTTCCTCGTACAATGAGGTAAATCCAGCTGATGCTTTCACAGCACGAAGTAGAAAACACTTATGGAGTTGTTCCGAGAAGATATTTTCAAATTATCATGAAGGAGTAGATTTCTTGCTGCAGTGCTGGATTGAACCACGCGATAGTGACAGCACAGTCTCCATCAGAAATCAAGGTGTGGTGGGGTCATGTTATAGGTCTGGCTCAGGTCCAGCTGAGCTCACTGTGAGGCGGATGCAGAGAAGAAGCTGCATGCTACACGCTGCTGTAATTAGAGCAGTGCCGGGATACGTAGCCTAATTACTGCAGGCCTGCTCAAAGGGCACACACAGGCTACTGCTGACACACTGAGCCTGAGGACAGAAGCACTATACCCTGGTGAGACAAAGCAATACTTTTTCTACCAAACTATAAACCATTGTTCAGCATCAATACTTTTGTGGCAAGTTTGCATTGTTATTGCTTCTACACTAGTCACTAGTCACTTTTCCTGGAATGATGTGATCATTTGTTGGCAAATAGTGGAGTTTGGCCTATTTGCATATTTCTGCCAAATAGAGGCTAATTTTATGGCATAGCAAAAAGAAAAAGCCTCAAATGTAGCTGTTGAAAAGAAGGTTGTTCACTATCAAAATACCATACAATGGTTCTCCTTCAGGACTATGTGTTTGCTGCAGCAGAGCCTCTGGATTCTGTGTGTCTGACAGCTTCTTTATTTCCTGTGTCTTAGGCTGGTCATGTTTTGCAAGCCGTCCTTCTACTCCTACAAACATCGAACATTTTAATTCATTTAGTGTCTTGCATTTTCTGTAACTGAGGATATTTTCTACCACATACTGTAGAAACAGCAGTATCTGAATGAATGTCAGGTCTTGTTCTAGATTCCTACCAACATTCCTGACCGTGTTTTGACAGTCATTTCCAATATCATCTTGGCCAGATGAGTATTTGCTAATAACAGCCTTTGTCCTCCCATCTGCCAGACAGCTACACAGCAGGCTGTCAGAGTGAAAGTAGTATATTAGATGATTGAAAACATCAATACATTGTTAATGGAATAAACAGCATAATTGTGAACATCTGATTTCCAATGATGTCCCTGGATGAACACGACATGTTTGTGAGAATTGTTTTTGGAAAATAAAACATTACAAACGCCTTTTTTATTGCAGTCATATCCACAATCACAACCTTTTCAGAACCAAATGCATCTTTGTCTTTTGGGCCGATTATCGTACACCTTGATCGTATAGACAAACTGATTCAGCGGCGCAAATGCTGCCATATTAAATACAGAAAACACTTTAAACCTGATTGCTTTCAACTCAGGTGCATATTCATGGCTTTAAATCAAAAATATGATTCAACATTAATGGCTGTCTGTAGTTTATCTTGTCAGTCAAAGAGCATTAGAGTGACCTCATTTACCCTTTCCTCCATACATCCAGATGTAATGACAGGCCACCTCTCCTATCTGCTCAGCAACAGTCATTTGTGGCGGTGAGATGATCAATGCAGGAGCAAGCTGCCCATTCATCTCTGCTAACAGACCTGCCATACTACAAAAAAGGTATTTTCTTTAGTTGGCAGTGTGAGGAATTTTCTATTCGCTAGATACAATGATGTGAAGAAAAAGTATTTTCTGGCTTTTTTGCTCATTTAATCTCATTTTAACCCACAAGATTGGAAGTCAATAAACTGTGTGTAGGAGTTTGTGCCCTCCGGTTGAAGTTGATGAAAAAAACGTTTACTGAAGGTCCATTTTTTACGTTTGAAATGATGAGTATGGACTAGGATTTCATTTCACTGTTACGTGATTGGCTAGAGCCGCAAAAAACAATAATTGATCAGTCAATTAACAGAAAAGTAATCCGTAATACAATTGATTAAATGTAGAACAAAAAGTGTAATCAGTCAAACCTTTTGTAGTTTAAACAATAAATCTGTTGGTATGACAAAGCAAACAATTTAAAGATGCTCCCTTGTCCTGGCATATAATTTATTTCTCAATTATTCTGCACATTATTTTACTGTTTGATTGATCAGTCACTTAGTCCATGAATGAAATGTCAAAAGGTTTATCACTCTTTGTCAGAGCCCAAGATGAAATAGTTTGCAACAATATCTGGCACACAAAAAGCAATTTAAGTTTCCATAACCTTTACATTTAAGGAGCTGTAACAAGTAACGACTGTTTGTCTTTTATAATATACTTGAAACTATTAATATCGATATTAAAAATAGTTTGCCATGGATTTTATGGCGGCTGATAACTAGATCAACCATAGAAACGTTTTGCTCTAGAATATTGTTGGGATTTCTTCCAATTTTCAGACCAAACGTTTGATCAAGAAAATGTCTGCACTCTGGCAGATTACTCCCACCAAACCTCAGACATCTACAGCCACTGCATCCTACAGAGGGTCTTTGTGGACCGTATTTCCCTTTCCTAAATATGCTGAAATTGTGAGCTAGAGAAACATTTAATTGCTCTAATCAAATCTCGGGATAATGCTTTCCACTAACTTCAAATGGCCTGCGTGATGCTTCTTAGACTGCAAACTGTACACTGTGTAAACATGAATATAATTCAAGTGGATTGAAATTATAATGAGAAATCTCAGCTAAATCACCAGACGGTCACATTGAAATACCGATTCATAGATTAGCTTGTTTTCAGTGTGATGATGATTGAGTGTCATTGGTGATTAGTTTCGGCTCTGGTTTTTACTTTGTTCACGTTATGTATGAACCTCTTCTCTGTTTAATGTGCATTACTGAAAAAAGAAAGCATGTCCTTGTGAGTACAATCACTGGATTTTGTCATGAAGATGACCACAAAGCTGTGTAAACATTTAACTGACCAGCAATAAACACCTGCAAGGGTTTGGCCTGCACCTTTTATCGATTTACTTTGAATTTGAGCCAGCTGCAGGGACACTTTGAGGTTGGTATTAGAGACCTGCTATGTGGGATACACCCAGCCAAGCACCTGTCACTTGAGCTCTGAATGAATGCTCTTCTTGTGGGCTGATTAATTACCGTGTGAGAGAGGTTATCCTGTAATCATCACTGTGACGTCCCAGAAACAAAGGCAGTACCACTGTAAGTTGCTCAGCTGTGCCAGACACCATCCATTAATCAACAAACCACACACTCGACATGCCAGGATTAGTCTTTGACAACCCAGAGAAGATAAGAATATAATTGTAATGCTTTTTACATAGCCCTCTCCTGAAGTGATGCCTTTAATTAACTGCTATATATTATAGAGGCTGTTTTCCACATCAAGGTTGAGAGGAGACACTGAATCCCTACCAGCTTGAAAAGGTGATGTTCTGAGGCTGACCTCATGATTGTCTCCAAATCCCCCCATTAAATGGTAGAAATGGTTCACAAAAATGAAATCCACCCTCCATATGGTGTAGGAGGCTGACCCTTTACTACACACTCTTTGTGGGTCGGGGGAACCGACAAGAAAAAAGAAGATTTCCCTCGAGAGGCAGGATCACTTTCAATTAATTCAGCCTGAGAAAAGTCTATTAATTTGAGTCACAAAAAAATATTTATACCCTTGGTATAAATATAAAGTAATTTTGGTGCCAGGTGTTAGGCTGCTTTCCAGTTGAGGTTTTTGTTGTACTATTAATTGCAGTATGTGTTAACTTTAAGCATGAGGATATCCACAGGAAGACATAACTTCAACCAGACTGGATCTCATCATGCTGTCACATGTATTCATGCAGACACGCCTGCACCAATGCAACCATATCTAATCATGTACTTACAGCCAATTGAATACATTTAGCCAAAAATAACCACCTTGTATGCTGCATCTTCTCTACAGTTCAAATGTTGGTTAAATGAAATAAATGTCTTTCTGATCAGTATGTGTGGTCATGCATGGACAATTGCACAATCTGTGCGGTTATACATCTAATTAATTATCGCACAAAACAATTTTTCTCGAGAATGAGTGTGCTGCATTTTTCTTTATGGAGATTACACTTTTGCTATCAGTCTCCTTCTGACTTTGTATTACCAGCACCTTTTACATAAAGTGCCTTCAGTTGATATTATTCACTGCCAGCAGCAGACTCTTTAGTGAAATGTTTTGAAATAAGCCAACATATTAAGGAAAGTCGATATGATGTGGACACAGAGATTGTGAGATGCGAATCACATTAAGTTCAGGCTCATTTATTTATAGAGCCTTTCATCACAAGTATGTCTCAGAGGACTTCACAGGGAGAAGGTGAGAAGAAACCTATCTAGATCTTTCTAATCAGAACCAGTCACATGACAAAGTGAGGTGCTGTAATACATGATGAAACATGTGAAATGCAAGGCTGCAAACAAAGACTCTAATGTATGTAGAGGTGGACACAATATCACAGGTACATGTTCGATCTAATGCAATCCAAATCAACAAGTCTGAAATAAAAGCTACTATATAAATACAATAAACACGTAAACAATTCATAGATTTGTTAGTTGTTGGTTATTTATTGTCATTTATACGACATAAAAACATACTATTGCAATTATAAAACATTTGTTAGACATGGATATAACTTATAAGAAATACATTATTATGGCAGACAACAAACTGTATCTCTTTTCTCAAGCTTTAAAAAGCTACTAAGAATTAAAGGACATGTTACAAAAAATAAATAACCTTTTATGCATCACAAACTGGGCATTAACAAATGAAATTGACTTTATTTTTAAGGTAATGCAGCCGAACAGAAATGTGAACACTTTACTTTTTGCTGGCTTAGGCTTACAAGTTTCTTCACCAATGTTGCAGGTACGTAGTACAAGATTGCGTTATTCTGCACAGGCTATTCATGATAATGTCGACACATGCTGAAGCCTAGTCTTGTTTTACAACACAACTATGAACCTGACAGACACATCGTCTTTTCTTTGTGT